GGCCCATTCTAAATGTCATCCTCAATGGAGTGGATCCATGATTTGGAGTGTTTTAAACAGTAGAACACTATGCAGCAATGAAAATGAACAAAAAACGGTTACGTGTAACTATGGGTGAGTCTCATAAACATAAATCTTACCATGTGGTCTTTATTGCCTTTGCCTTTGTAAATGTGACTGTGTGCTTATGAAGCTGATTTGGGGTGCTGTGGAGTACAGGGACTCCGTGCTGGGACAGAAGCCCTCAGGGGTAGGCAGTTGCTGCTGTCCTCTAGGGAGGAAGCGCTGTGCTACACCCAGGGAGTAGCGGTAGCCAGGGAGAGAACAGTGTGAATGGATTGAGGGTCATTAGAAGCGAAGTGAACACAATCTGGTGACATTTGGATTGATTCCAGAGAGAACCATGAAACGTGGCTGAGAGTGCCAATCTCATGGGCCAAGTGGATGAATGTATCATTAAAGTCACAGGAGGGCTTGAGTTTTGAGGAGGCAGATAATGAAACCTGCATGATGTCGAGCTGTATGTTCTTAGGTACTTTTTTTTTTTAACTTCCCTTTACCACAGTTTATGTATAAAAAGAGAAATAATTTTTTAAACATAACAATCTTGAAGATAGTATGTTAATCTAGTGTATAAAATACACTGCTACTATACAGTTTCATCAGGAGTAAGTATGACCCTGAGTATATAACATCAAATTCAATGCAGCCCTCTCCTTAGGCTTAACAGACACGAGAGGCCAGGTGTAGGGAAACCTGATCTATCCCGAGTTCTCTTGAGTGGAACACCACACACTTCAAGTGCAGGTGGGAAGACAGTCTTAGGGCAGAATGCGTAGCAAACAGGTTATGTAGTGCGGGGAAAGGAAAGCTAAGAGGTGATTTAAGGAAATTTTAAATGAAAGGCAAGCCCAAAATCAGCATATACCTTTGCTGAAAATGATTCCTGTACTTTGGTAGTGGAGAGCCTTTTGAAAAATAATGTTGTATTGATACAAAATGACGCACAAGGCCTTAATACTATTTGTCAATAGTTACCACAATAATGGATATTATAGAAAATTTGTAAATCACTAAAAAGAACATGATAAGTAAACAACATCTAAATTTCTAATACCAACAGATTCCGTTTGTTAACATTTCAGTTCAGTCCACTCAACTGTTCGTCCCCATATCCCTCTGTCTTGCCTTTCTTTTTTATTTCTACAGAGCTGAGACTGCATGTTATGTAACCTACTGTGTTTTGTACAGGAGCTTAAGTAGAGGCTAATCTTGCTGTGAGGGATTTAGGTTAGCTATGTGTAGTAAGAAGGAAATGTCTGATGTTCTTTGTCAGAGTTATTGAGGGAGGATGCAACACTTTCTTGTCCGACGATCTTAAAATATAATAGGATAAACTCTCATCTTTTTGATGGCAAGGGCATGACCCCGTTTCACTGCCACGTTATGCCCTGATATGTGGGCAGACCTTGAGAGTGCTTGTTTGAGGGCTTATTTCTCCCAAAAGTAGTAGAAAGAAATATTGGTGAGAATTTGATGTAAGAATTTTATTAATCCCTCACCTACACCTGCCTCGAGGACTGAAGAGTTCATTTCTCCCCAGAGTGTGAGACTGTTGAACTTTTCCATTTTTAAATATTAAAATCACTGTAAAATTCTACTCTGTCTAATCCAGAATAAAGACAGGAAAGATTAGTGTCACTGTGATATAGTTTTACATGAGCAAATCATTTTAAATAGGCTTAAATCTAAGAAGCTGCTTAGACTGAAGGTATTTTTGTCAGATTGGACGGGATAACTGCGTGTGTGTGTGTGTGTGTGTGTGTGTGTGTGTGTGTTCATGTGGGAGAGAGATTGGAGGGAGGGACAAAAGGGACGGAGGGAGTGGGAGAGTTCGGGAGGCTTTGTTTTACTGCATGCACGATCTAATTGTTGAAATTACTGCTGTCAGAGAGAAGTTCCCGTCATGGCTCACTAGATCCAGTGTTTTCTCTGAACGTCTCTTTGTGTGTCAGTGCTCACATGATCATGCTTCGCCATATGTGCAAAATGCATACAGGGATGTGTGTCCCATATCCTTCCTACAGGGATGTAAGAAGGCAAGGAAAATACTTTCTTTGTTTATTATTTTTGATTACCCAGAAGTTAATTAGTTCATTTAACAAATATTTATTGAATTCGTTGTGGGTAGGCACTGTGCTGAAAATGGGGGATAGGGCATTGCCTAAAAACAGTAAGTATGAACAAGCTTTTTAGTTATTGATACACATATAATTGTTCATCTGTGTCTGTTGCTTGGTGTCCACAGAAGAGAAGTTCTGTTACCTTTAGGATAAAGTCTAACTTCTCAGCCTAGTCTCCACTTACCCTTTCAATCTTATCTCCTAAGGTCTCCCATACCTGTCTTTTTTTTTTTTTTCCCCCCAGTACTGGGGATTGAACTCCGGTCCTTGAACTTGCGAGGCAGGCGGCGGAATCACTGAGCTAAATCCCCAGCCCTCCCATATCTGTCTTTCGCATCCATTCCTAGGATGATTTTGGAAAAGACTTATCAAGAGCAGTACCTTGTAGTAGGCATTTTCAGATAATTTATATTCAAGTAATCTCTCTTGTTTTATGCCCTCTTGCCTTAGTCTTTGTGATTTTTTTCCTGGTGGAGTGCTTTGCATCAGTTTGTTGACACTAGCCCCCTTGTCTATTTGTATTCCCACCAGACCTTGTATTTGTATTTCCCTCTGTTCCCTTGGAAAACAGAGATTCTGTCCTTCATTGTGGCTTCCAGCACTCCGTACAGCACTTAGCAGATAGTAGCTATGCACCCAGCATGTTGAAAATGACCGAATAGGGCCGGGGATTTAGCTCAGTGGCGCCACCTGCCTCACAAGTGCAAGGTCTTGAGTTTGATCCCTGGTGCCCCCCCAACACAAACAAACAAACAAACAAAAAACACTGACCAAATGAAGGTAATCCAAATGATTAGTGGTGAGGAATACTTTTTTTGTCTCTAAGAAAATCATTTTCTTTTTCATTTTTGAAGGTAGTTTTGCTGAATTCTTGGTATGTAATTTTTTCCTTTTAGCATTTTGAATATAACAACCCATTCTCCTTCCAGTGTGCAAAGTTTTTGCTGAAAAATCCACTGAAAACTTTACAGATGCTCCCTTGTATATATGATGAGCTGCTTCTTTTTTTGCTGCATCAGTAATCTCTGTTACTTTTAACAAATTGATTGTAATGTGTCTTGATGTGGAGCTTTTTGGATATATTCTTGGAGTTGAGATTTTAAATTTGTATCCTTATTTTCCTTTGCAAATTTGGAAAATTTTGGCTGTTATCTCTTTATATAGGCTCTTGGTCAAATCCTCACTTATTTCTCCTTCTTACCCCTAATGAATACATTTATTCTCTTGCTGATATCCCCTAAATCCCATAGGCTGTTGTCACTTTTCTTTATTGCCTTTTTCTTTTGCTCCCATGACTCAATAATTTTAAATGGCCTGTCTTCAAGTTTGCTAATTTATTTCTTCTGCTTGATCAAGTTTACTGTCAGAACCCTCTGGTGAGTTTTTCATTTCTTATATTCTTTAACTAACTTCTGCACTTTTTTTTTAAAGTTTCTCTTTGTTGATATTCTAATTTTGATCATGCCTCATTTTCCTGATTTGATTTAAATGCATATCTGTCTTATCTCTTTAGTTCATTGAGCATTCCTTCTTAGATCTTTGTTTCTTTGGGATTAGTTTCTAGACTCTAGAAACTAGAGATTATTTGGTTCTTTGATTAGGCTAAGAAGAGCCACATCAAAGCAAACAAGAAAGTTGCTTGCTTCTTTATATACCTTGTGATATTTTGTTGAGATTTGGTTATATCAAAATAACAGCCACATCTTGCAGACCTTATAGATTGGCTTTGTATAAGAGAAGACCTTCACCAATCAGCCTTGCCAAAGAGGCTGGGGCCCCCTAAAACCTTTTCAAAGAATATACTTTTTCTGGGTTTATGTATGTAATTTCCCAGCTAAAGTGGTCTGCCCCAATTTTCAGGAGCCCATGATTGCTCGTTCCCTTTGGGTCTGTCTGTGGTACTGACTTTCAAGTGCCGTAACAGGTGGCCACATCTGTTTCTGTTCTTCATGGCCACGACATATCCAGTGTACTGCTGTTCCTTTCAGTGCCCTGAGTCATGCCCTTAGACAATGCTTTGTAAAGCCAAGGTGTTGGATACATGTTTAGCTCTTCCCTTTTCTTCTTGAGGCAGAAGCCAAGGGTTGGCAGCTTTATCTTGATTGTGCTTATGCTGGGTGGGAGGGGACTGTCACAGATGAGTGCAGTGAACTTTCTTGTGTGCTTTGATGTGGCTTTTCTTGGCTTTAAACTCACCTGACACGCAGCCACGTCTTCTTCATTGGTTTCTGGAGTTCTTACAAAAATGGTTTGGTTTGTATATTATTGTTAAGTCAGTGTCTCTATGGGGAATGAGGGCTTGAGTGTCTTGTTGAGCTGTCTTCTTTATTTCACTCTTATGTTTAGTCCACAACTGTTTTATGAGATCATGTTGGTAGAACTTTAATAATTAAAATCAGTAGAGGTGGCAGCAGATCCAGTCTCTCTTACCTGCCCCTTTCCAGTCAAGGTCACTTGTCTCAATAGCTACTATAAAATGCAGATACTATGATTGTGTTCATTTTACCTGTGAGAAAACTGAGTTACAGAGAGTTAGGAAAATTTACCCAAGGTCATGCTGCTGATTGTCTCAGACTCAGTTTTTAAATAGGCATTTTGCAGCATGAAGTGAATATTTTTTAATTTGAGTGTGTTTCTTACCTGAAGTAAGTCGACTTGAAACAAAATCTTACTGCAACAGGCAGTTATTCAGTAATTTTGGGAATTATTTTGTGTTGATTGTAAATGGTAATTATGCTGCTGGAAATGTCTGAAATTTACATACCCAAATATAGAATGACATCAAAGTTGTATTTTTGTTTGTTCATTTTCTTTTAGGACAGAGTTCATTCAAAGAGGCAGGATTTCAATCACAGGGGCTGGATTTCTCAACTATATTTTGGAAACTTTTGCCAGCACATTCTTAAGACAGGGAGCCCAGAAGGTAAGCTTGTTTCCACTTTGAACCGATATTAATTTTAAGAAACCACGAGGAGTCCAAAAGGGCATTGAATAGAAAATAATGAAAGAAAAAGTCATGAACATACACAATGAGAAAAAATACTGTTAATAAACAAGTATAACAAAAAATAATTACTCTTAATAATTATTGTATAAATCCTCGTCAAAGTAAAACTAAAGTACTGATTCAGGCCCATTAAACTAAAAATATGCCAATGAAGAATATGTGATATTATGGAGAATATTTATAGTCTAATGAAGAGAAACAATCAGAAATAATATTTATAGTATATATAATACAATGGCAACTATTTAATAAAAACTATAGCAATAGCTAGTATTTATTGAACACTGACTATCTACCACTGACTGTTATTTGAATTATTATCTCATTTGATTCTCACAAACCTTTGAAATAACTATTATTGTCTGTATTATGGATGAGGAAAGTATGGAGAACAGGAACCTGCAGTGTCCACCCTTGTAGTTTGTAATCTGTGCACGTGAGGGAACTTAGGGTTCCATGAAGGAAAGTATTTTAGAGAGCACGCAGGAGTTCTAAGGTCCTGTGGGCTCTGGCTCTCTTTTAAGTAGAGCTGTTGTGTTTTTATTTTTAACCTGTTTATATGACAATACACATGACAATTACAGGTAATATTTTTCTGGCCTTCATAGTGTTCTTTTTAAAACTTTTTTAGGACAGAATTCATTCTTATACTCATCTAAATATGCTATGGCTGTGTTGATAATAGAGCAGGTATTTCACAGTGTTTTATCATCATTGTGATGATGATCACACTTATTCCAGAGTTTACTCAGAACATATGCATGTGCTACCTCACTTTGTTTTGTGGATAAAGCTAATGGGTGCTCTGAACTGTTGTAGTAACCAGAGATTTCTGGGCAAATGACTTTTTATTTTTGCAAGCTTAGGTTTAACAATGAACCTGGAGCAGGAGGTATTAGTCTCGGGGTGCCGAGGGTGCTGAATGAGTAATTGATACTGCTTCACCTGCCACAGACACCACTGAGGTTGATGATGTGCACTTGGCCATTTGAGGTGGTTCCTGGTGCATATCCAGACTGGTCCAGCCTCTTTCAACCTGGCTGAAAGAAAGTGGGTGGACTAAGAAGATCTGATGTCATTTTAACATACTGAAACATTTCTCTTTTTTTCTTCTATATCACATTTATATACATTTATAATAACCCCTGTGTTCTGCAAAATTGCACTCTAAAAAATAATGTCATTTCCTTGTCTCTGTCTGAGTTGACAACTTCTGCATCCTATAAATTCTGAACTATAAAAACATAATTATAATTGAGTATGATTTTTCACAATAGGTCTATTAATCAGAGTAAGGTAATTCCTATTTTGGGAGGAATGACATGTAGCTGAATGAGGGTTTAAAATCAGTGTCCCTATATTCAAATTAATTGAAAATATTCATTTGTAGAAACTATTTTTACCTTTTGAGCTATGTACAAACAGATGGTGAGCTAGATTTGGCCTGTGGACTGTAGTGTGCCAACCCCTGCTTTAGATAAAAATACATTGTTCAGGCAGGGCGTGGTGGCACACTCCTTTAATCCCAGCACTCAGGAGGCTGAGACAGGTGGAATGTTGTGAGTTTGAGACCAGCCTGAGCTACAGAGTGAGTTCCAGGCAGTCTCAACTACATAGTGAGGCCCTGTCTCAAACAAAACAAAACAAAACAAAACAAAACATTGTTCAGTTAACCCAGTGGTTCTGTATTTGATCTGCTGACCAGCTTGAACTTGTTAATTACTTTGAATCATGTTGTGGTTGTGTATTTTAATCCTGTGAGATGCAAAAGGTGAACTTTTTATTCCCATTTTTTTAATGAAAAATTACTTGAAGAAATAAGTACAACCAGTATGTCAGTAACTGGTTACTCATTTCCCTTACACATTGTTCAGCACTTGCTTTATGCTAGGAACTGTGCTTTGTGGGTTAAGTAGATTTACTGAGGTTACAGAACTAATAAAATGTAATCTGGATTTAAAACTGCCCCTTTTGACAGCAAGACTTTTGTCTTGGTACTCTACTGTGTAGCCCTCATGAATCAAATGGTGCTTACCTTCTAAGCACCATGAATTTCACAAATGCTTCTATGTATTAGACACATTTGTGTTATGGTCTTACTCAGGCTGTACTTATTAGGATACTTTAGTTCCAAGTAGCAAGCCACTGGAGGCTAGCTCACTGTAAGGGTACAAAGGTGGTGAAGGAGGCAGGCTTCAGAAAGGTCTACTCTGACAGCTAGAAGCTAACAAACACTCCTGTAGTATACCTTCAGCTCTGGTCTGTAGCTGAAACTGTGTCTGTTTCATTCTCTATTTTCCCATTCCATTTTTATCTGCCCTCCATGGTATGTAGTGGGATGTGAGTCTTCACTGTCTAAGTGTACATATTTATACAGAGTTTCGACCAACAAAAAGCTGTCTTCTTAGGTCTTTTCTCTCTGAATTCTCTAAAAGGGACCTTTGTTGGCCTTCTCTGTGTCAAGCATGAACAGGAGGGTGAAAGGTTGTGCAGATATGGCTCATCCTTGGCCTTGACCATGTGGATCAGGGCTGAAGTCACTTCTTAGTGAAAGGGCTGAGGGGAAGGCACATACTCCCAACGGCTTTTGGCAAGGGCTGGGAATGCAACTCAGCACTAGAGCCCTTGAGTTTCGTAGTATGGGCTCTGAGTTCAGTCCCCAGTGGTACTGAAAAACAAACAAACAAAGGAACCCCAAAAAAATCTCTGTAGGCCTGGGGGTGTAGCTCAGTAGCAGAGCACTTGCCTACCATGCTTGGAGCCTTGATCCCCAGAATCACTACTATTTTTAAAAAAAAGTCACCAAAGGTTTTTGGAATATTCTCAAGTAGATTGTTTCTTGATGGCAGAAAGATGGTTTTAGTAATTTTAATTCAGATTCCTATAGCAGGAATACTAATTTTGAGAGTGCTTTGTGTGTCTACATGGAAATACAAAAATAAATAGAATGCACAGTAAGGTCCATAGTTGCTTTTTATTTTCCTCCCCCGTTACCGGGGATCAAACTCAGGACCTTGTGCTTGCCAGGCAGGCACGGCGCCACTGAGCTAAATCCCCAGCCATAGCTGATTTCTGATGAATATTAACTGAGAAAAAAAAATCAAATAAACTGTAAGTTTTTAAAGTGATGAACCCAAGTGGCTCCTCTCATTTTTTAAAAAAATCATGCTCAGAAGTAAGAATAAAATTTTCTTGCTGGCTTTTGCCTTTTCTGACTTTACTTTTTCTTTTTTAAAGAGGCTAAGTTTAATTAGCTTCTCAATTTTAGGAGCCACTCATGCTTAAGTGTCTTTTATCTCTCATCCAAGTGGCGATATTTCCAGGTATCAGCCTGATTTCCTGATAAACCTTCACAGCTGAGCCTGCATAAATGGCTTCTGGGGAAGTCCCTGGGAGAGTGTTTTAGGTGACTTCATTTTCACATTTGGACTTTATCCTTGAGGCTGTTCAGTAGTGGTAAAGGTGGGATCTGATATCTTATTTTTCTCCAGTAAAAGCAAAACTAGACACTTACAAACTTTATATCTCTGTGTTTGTAAATTAAAATCTAGGCCTAGATATGGATCCCAAGCTGAGGTTGCTTGTGTGCCTCTGAGGCTTGTTCAATTGCTTTTTTCTGTCCCTCACCACTTTGAGGCAGCTTGCAATTTTGTGACCTTTCTGGCACACATGCTGACTTTCCCCCACCCCTCAGAGCACACCTTCCTCTTGGATTTGGAAATGCAGTATGTGCTATGGGGGCCTTTGGAGGGGGACAGAGATTTTCCTCTGGTCGTCAAGCCACCCTTCATCCTGGGTTGTTCATCTGCGAAAAGAGGATATTAATGCATTCCCACAGACAGTGTGGAAACTGTTTGAAAGCTTTCGATAAAGTGAAGAGCACAAGTCAAATAAAGAGGCCTGAGGGCTGGGGATTTAGCCTAGTGGTTCCCCTGCCTGCTTCACAAGCCCAAGGACCCGAGTTTGATCACCGGTACCAAAATAAATAAATGAACAGGCTTGGCATAGTGGTGCAGACCTGTAATCCTACCACCTTGGGCAAGATGTCACAAGATTATCTTGACAAAACAAAACAAAACAAAACTAAGCAGTTGGGGATATAACTCAGTGTGAAGGCCCTGGATTGAATACATAGTACTACTGAAAAAAAAAGTTCTCTTTAAGACTTAAAAAAAACCATAATCATATATATTTTTTATTTATAGTTATATATTTTTTCATCAAAGTCAAGTGAAAAGAAGTCATCTACGCAACTAGATCCTACAGATACTTTTTCTGTGTCTGTTGTATGCTAGGCATTTTCTCCAGTAGAGTGCTGGAGACGTGTGAGGATAAATCTTCTGAGATGGAGACTTTGCCCTATGCTGCTTTAATTGGTGGACATTTAGCACAGGGTGGAAAGAATAAACACCTGCTGATGTTGAAAATTTATTGAGCCTTGCTTGCTGTTCAGAGCTCTGCACTGCGATCAGTGCTGAAGAGGATATTAAAACACGAGCTAGTGCTTATCAGTGCTTAGTAGATGCTATGCACTGTGCTTAGTCTGAGCTGCCCTCTCTGCTTTCTGAACAACTCCCTGGGACAGAAATTGCTGCTCCTGTTTTATGCATAGAGAAACTGAGTCCCAGGTAACAAAGCAGTTTCTGAAGTTACAGAATTAGGGAGGGTGAACGTGGAATTTGACCCGAAGCCTGACTCCAGAGTGTACTCTTGATTGCGACACCATGTGGTTGCATCCACCATCTCTTGCCCACCTGTGGACTTGTGGTGTTCCTGATGAGCTAGAAGGAGGTGACGTGGTGTGCACAGGAAGCATGAGAGTGCAAGAATAGGCAGTGCAGTTACAATAGAAGGACTTGGACAAAACCAGGGTGAGGGCCCTTCTACTTGAAAGGGCTGTGGAGTGACTAGGGAGT